CCAGAGGAGAATGAAAGAAGCCATTTCCCTGACTGTGAAGTTGGGCTTTTTGTATCATGAGTGATTCAAGGCCGACATCCTCCCTACTAAGGTGTTTATTTCTTTACCAGTGGACACAGGAGTTGGTTCTCTGTGCTATACACTCCATTTGCCCTGAGCAAAATTACCAGAATAATGTAATAAAATTGAATGGAAATGGGGTATTCTGCAAATCGATTCTATTCTGTGAATGAATAGACTAGCGTGTTTAAGAGTAACTGTGGTGGCTTAGGAACATCCCTGTGCTTTGGCTCGTGGGATTATGAAGCACTGCAATGAGGTGGTGTATATGTCCAGTGAGAATCTACGAAGCAGGGCAGACATCCAGCCTTCCTCCAAAACCTCACAGATGGGCAGGTTCATGCTGTCCTGAGAGTTTAGGCTTAGTGCATGTAAAGAGGGTCTTCTCTTTAACCTTCTCTTTAATCTTTAACCTTCCATTTCTTATATGCTGTAGGTGCTTGATACGTGTTCACTACATTAATTGATGACTGCAATTACAGTTTATCTTATTGTAAACCTGGGAGGGACTCTAAACAGATTCTTAAGTCCTAATGAGTGAAGCAAAATGATGAATGAATTTTCTTTGTAGTTAAGTCATCTAAACTGGGCTTCACAGTCTTTGTATTAAAAATTACACTGTGTGCTGAGGAGGCAGCTCAGTAGGTAAAAGGTTTGCTGTGCCAGTACCAGGACCTGAGTTTGACTCCCAAAGCCCCCGTGCAAAAGTCAGGGGTGCTTGTAATACCAGTGTTGCAGAAGTGGTGACAGGTGGGTCCTGTAGGCTTTCCTTCAAGCCAGCCTAGGACAGGACAGTGCCTAAGGAGCAACACCAAGGGTTGGCCTGCACACTTGCACACATATCCCTATACATATGCACCTGTACACACACACACACACACACACACACACACACACACACACACACACAATGTTCTTTTGTCATCTTTATTTGAGATGCAGCTCATGGACCTCACACATGAACCTAGCAACCAGAGCAGGATATGTCTGTACTATTAAAAAAAAAAAAAAACAACCAAAAGACAAGTTCAGAGTTATTGATTCTAGACTTCATTTTTTTCTTGGTGTTTTTTCTGTGTGGGCCTGGCTGTCTTAGATCTTGCTCTGTAGACTAAGCTGGCTTCGAACTCAGACATCTGCCTGCCTCTACCTCCCATATGTTGGGACTAAAGGCATGTATCACCACTGACCATCTCTATACTTCGTCCTTGCTCTAGCATCCAAATCCAGAGCTGTGCCTGGATTTGGTGCCTAGTAGGCACTCCACATTGTTTTGAATGCATGAATACATGAATTCAAGGTAGTGCCAATGTTAAGAAGGAAGCAAATCTGAGTTTAGCCTGAAAGGTTTGGTTCTAGACTTTTGGTGGGACAGACCAGGAGACTGAAGATGTCCATGGATTTGGAGAAGGCAAGTCAGTAGATTCTCTTGAAGCTCTGAGAATTCAAAGCACTTGCTCAGAATTACAGATAAAAATTAATTTAGTATCTTGGTCTAAACATCCATTTCATGAAGTATTAAAACCAGTGTTGGGTAAATTTCAAAGATAAAATGAAAATGTAAATGGAATGCTTCTGGGCCTGGCTCTGATAGCCCATAACTAGCCCGTATCAACCTTTTTTCTTCTTGGCAAGATTCAGCCAAGGTGCATCATAACTGAAGTCACCAAATGGCCACAGGCCCTTGACAGTGATCACTTAGCCTCTCTTGAGTGTCTCCTAACTGTCTGTCCAGATTTCACATCCCTTACTCACCTCTGGTCATGGGTTGTCTCCTCCTCTGGTCTCTACACTGATTGCTTCCTATCTTTCTTAGGCTTTCAGCTCTTTAAATCCCTTCTTTCTCTAACCCGGTCTCATCTATGAACCCAGTTCCTGCTGCTGGCCCAGTTTGATGACCCTGTAGGGGTTGATACAACTTGCAGCCTCCAGCTGAGGCTTGGATATTATATTCTATAAAACTTTGAATTCAAGATGATTTTTTTCCACTGAGAAAAGAGTTTTATCTGGTACAAAATTTCTATCTCTGTATGCACCTTCATTGGCTAATAATGCTTAGAAGTATTGACAGGATATAAGAGCTAAGCTGATTCTCTCACCAGGGTTTGGTGTATCTTGAAAATGGTTTTCTGGGTGTTCATATTTAAGGCATTATACAGAAGAACTCTAAAATGTGGAGAGGAGAGCAGGATATTTGCTTGATTGACACCAAGGGCTGATATGGAGGATCCTCTTGGCTAGGGAGGGGGAGTGGGCTGGGGCTCTTAAGATTTGATTGAGGAACTTGGCTTTCTACTAAGGGGGAATGTATAAATTTGTGTTTCAGTCACAACAAACCATCCATCCATTGGCTGAATTCCCTCCTAGGAGTTTCAGACATGGAGAATTCTAAACCAAATATAGAATCCATTTGAGTTGCTTAGATCCAATGTTAGGACAGAAATATTCACACTTTCAGGCATCTGGCCATATGGCTTTGAAAAAGAATGCATTTTTAGTTCAACAGGGAATATCTTTTGGAAATAAAAAAACATTTTGAGTGCTGATAAACCAATACGTTGGGCTGAACCATTCCACGGAAAGACATTGGTTGCTGTGTAGGAGATACCTGTAGCCCAAAGTGCTCTCAGCATGCTTGCCACTTTTTAAGATTGTTTTTAAAAGATGAATATTTTCTTGGCATACTCATTGAGATATAGGTGAAAATGTCTCGACCATTGGGAGATGTTTGCTCTCAGCATACATTGGTGGGCTTAAGTCCTGGAAGCTAGGATGAGGATCAAGAGATGTGCACAGCTGATGGTACTAGCAGTGGCTCTAGCCATAAGATGGAGGATGCCGGGAACACCATAGATATAGTTCCTGCTGTAAACTGTGTATTTTCTTAAGTGTACAATATTTATCATAAGGAAGCTCAAGGATGACACAGTTTTAAAAAAAAACTCCTTTTGTTAACAGCCCTGAAGGCTAGAAGTCAGAATCATTCTGTCTCACGAAGACTTTAACCTTCTATACAGATTATTTTGCTAGAGATTAATGCTAGAAAATAAAGTTTCTTGACAGTCCTTACAATGATCAACTATGACAATTACTTCCTAGCAAATCCTACCCATGAGCTATTCCTCCTAGTGGTGGAATGTACAGCTTTGAAGCTACATTAAACTCTGAGTTCTGCTTTTGATCACTTGAGTTTAGAAAGATATTGAAACTGTGCCTCAATTCTCTGACCTGAATGATGGGAAGAATCTCCTTATAAGAATTAAATGATGAACTTTAAACTAAAGAGTGGGAAGTCAGCTTCTCTGTAGAGTAGGTTGTCAGCACATGTATTTTATTACTATCTCATTGTTGGTTGTTTCCATGGTTGTAAATCTAGGTCAGAGAGACTGACCTGTTACACGTGTGTCAGTGCTGGCGGTGCTGAAGCAGCAGCAGCATCTCTCTTCTATGCCTGCAGTACTGTTTCCATGTTAGCACTCACATCCCTTGTATACTTGTATACTCAGACCTCCTTTCCTTTAACAAAGTGCTTGCTTTGTTAAAGGCAATATTGTGATTATTTATGGCACTTGACATGAGAATCTGAATAATGCTCTCTTATTATATAATCTGGTTTGAGAATTATCTTGTTCCATTCTCCATACAAACCCAGAAGATCCTATTTTTACCACCCATGATCCACTCTTAGCTTGGAGGACCAGCTGAGAGTGCTTCGGCAAGTTGCTTACAGCAAGGAACATCCAGAGATAATTTGAACCCATGCTCACCCAGAAAAAAATGCTTACATGTGGCACTGGACGGAAATTTTGTGATGTAATTTTAAATCATCTAAATTTTCTGTTTTATAAAAGGACTGTATGATTATTATGCCATATTAATGTTGTAAAATATATACAAGTCTACCCAAGTCCCTTCCATTGCTCATAATTAGAAAACACACACACACACACACACACACACACACACACACACACACACACTAGGGGGGAACTGAAATCTGTAATTAGTACAGAGGTGTTTACCCCTCCAGCTGTCACTCTGTGGTATTCCATCCTCTACCACGTATCTTGCTGCTTTATGGTAATGCACGCCTGCCAACAACGTGAACAATGCAATATCTAAACATCTCCCTTCCTTCTAGAAACAGGTTCTTCTGTCAAGTTTCTCAGGGATCAAGTCTTACCCAGCAGTATGTGTTTTATAGGAATGATAAATTTCTTGACTCTGTTTATCAGGGTAAAATTAAACCTTATTTAATGTAAAACCAAAGGGCATAAAACAACTATGAGTTTATTTCTATTATTAGTAATTTATTTTGCTACATTCATGCTTATCTCACCCAGTCATAACATTTTCTGGAAGTTACTCCTGATTTCCACTCACTGGGGAGGACCTTTGAGTCCTCCCACCATTGGTTGTGTAGTGTTAAGGTGATGGTTTTAGGTGCTTTGTTTTGTCTCTAGATGGTGCCTGCAGATGTAGGGGGTCCCTGCAGATGTAGGGCTGATGAATAGATTGTGAGCATGGAGTCATGTGAGATCTATCAGGATGGCCAAGGACTAAACACAACAGTTGGTCACATTGGTGGCCACTCTCAGCATCACCTTTAACCTTATTCCAATGTGCAACCATAACAACAATGTCTTCTTCACAGTAGTGCTAACTCAATGCATATTGATCTGATTTTAACACTAAGCATATCACCAAAGCATTAGTTGCAAGAATCACTGATCATTACAGAGCCCCCAAGAAGTGACAATGTATAAGGAAACATTAGTGTTTGCTTTAGATATACCAAGAGAATCAAGTTCTGGGAGCCCACCAGGACCACAGAGTTTCCGGGATTAATCATGTCTCACCAAAAGAATAAGAGTATTCAAAACATAATTACCAAACTAATCACCTCTTGGAGTTCTGGGGCCAAGTACCAGAGCCCTTACCTGTCTGTGCTGTTGAGTGACTTGATATCCCAGGCCTGCCATGGACTGATTCTGCATTTTCTGAAGCATGATCTTTTGCTGAAGTGGCAAGGGTGACCTTAGCAAAGATTGGCTTGATAAAGCTTGGGTGGAGTGGGATGGTTGCTGCTGCTGCTGTTGCTGCTGTTGTTGTTGTTGTTGCTGCTGCTGCTGCTGAGCTGTCATTGAACTTTGCTGCTGCTGCTGCTGTTGTTGTTGCTGTGGCTGCTGCTGCTGAGCTACCAGTGAGCTCTGTGGCTGTGGCTGCTGCTGTTGCTGCTGAGCTACCAGTGAGCCTTGCTGCTGCTGCTGCTGCTGCTGCTGCTGCTGTTGCTGCTGTTGCTGCTGCTGCTGCTGCTGGGTGTAGTGCAGGAGAGAAGGCTTGTTCTGGGAAGGCAAAAGAGAAGGCATCTGCTGGTTTGCTTGGTCTGAGTTAAAATGGAACAACAGCTTGGTGTTGCCATGTCGGGGCTCCAAGGTTGGGTGTGGGTTATTAATAAAACTTCGGCTGAGATCCTGAGACTTTTGCTGCAGAAGCACATCCAGGTGTCCAGCCTGGGCTGAGGGGCTGGTCTTGTATGTGTAATTAGCTGCTGCTTTGGACTGGTTGCTGCTGCCAGTCACCCCAGTCATGGGTGATCCCTGTGGACTGAAAGGTTGCTGGCCAAAGGAAGGGCTGGGGATTTTTTCCTGCACAAATGGCCCTGGGGATGGCCCAGCAGAGGATTGCAAGCCTGGCCAGCTGGGAGGTGGCTGCTGCTGTTGCTGCTGCATCCGTGCATGTTGCTGGCGGTTTGCAGCTATCTGCTTGAGCTGTTGGGCATGGGATACTTCTTGCCAACTTGGCAGGGTCCTGTTTGCTCCTGATACTGTCTGAAGCTGAGGCTGACTCTGAGGAACTGTGGGGATTGGGGATGAAGTGGAGAGTGCAGAGTTGGCCAAGGAAAATGCAGGGCCAGCTGATGGGGGCCTCAGCTGGGGAGAGCCTGAAGTGCCTTGTGTCAAACCAGGTGAATATTCGCTTTTGATAATGATCTTCTCCATGGGCAGGGAGGGTCTCGGTGTGCTCCTCTGGCTCTGCTGGCCCAAGTCAATGCCAAACGGGTCATCCTGCTTAATGGTAGCATTGATCATGTTCTCCAGCTCCAGGTCACTCATGGGAGGCACTGATATGTTGGTCAGTTCATTGAACAGTTCCTGCAGCTCAGGGTCCATCAGTTGCTCTCCAGGGTCATCTCCAGGCCTATTAGTAAAAGCACTCTCCGGTGTCATTTGGTCATCCATATGCTTACTGCAAGACAGGGTCTCCCCAGGTTCTTTCTTCACCTCCTTTAAGCCCATGTTAAACAAATTGTTTCCAGGAGAATGTGCAGGAGGTGGTAGAGCATTAGTCTTCCTCAGTGCTTGGTTCATGGGCAAGGTCCCTGGCATCATATGACTTTGTCCGTTATTTACTGGGAGGGCCCCCTGACCTGTAGAAAGGTTCTCCCCAACTCTGATCCTTTTGATGTCAAGAAATGAACTGTCAACAAAGCCATTGGGCCTCTTGCTGTTGGCAGGAGACAAGTTGACTATTTGTTTTCTTTTCAAGGAGCCCTGGAGCTGAAAGACAAAAAGGAAATAAAACAGACATGTTTAAGATTCCAATCCAATCATACCTTTAAACAAGAGCAATGTTATGCTTAACTTTTAAAAAGCATTGCAAAGGTATTATTCATTTTTACTTTATGTGTATGCGTGTTTTCCTATATATATGTTTGTGTACTAGCTAAATGGTTTATATCTGAGTAGGCCAGAAGAGGGCATCAGATGCCCTGGAACTGGAGTCAATGCTGGTTCTAAGCTATCATGTGGGTGCTGGCAATTGAATCCAGGTCCCCCTGGAGAGTAGCCAGTGCTCTTAATCCCTGAGCCATCTTTCTGGCTTCTAGGCTCAATATTTAAATCTTTAATTAAAAACAACTTGATTTTTTTTGTTGTTGTTTTTTGAGGTAGGTTCTTATTTATACCAGGTTGGTCTCAAACTTGCTATATACCTAAGGGTACCATTGAACTTCTTGTATTCCTATTTTGACCTGCTAGGTAGCTGAAATTACAGGTATCTACTACCCTGCCTAGTTTAAGTGGTGCTAGGGATCTAACCCAGCATATTATGCAAACATTCTACTACCCAAGTTACAGCTTCTGCCTTCAACATCAAGTTTATCTGTCCCCCTAGTGAGACCTAGTCTGGAATATAATGGAATACACAAGAGAAAATGGAATTAGTTAGAGGTACAGCAATCCCCATGATCAATTAATCCCCATGATTGGTTAATAGTTGAAGAACTCTTCTGACATGTAAGGAGTTATTCACAGTACCTAAGCATGCATTTTCTTCTGGAATAAAGAAAAATATCTTATGTACACACATATAAAATGCTAGGGCAGCTACATACTCAAAGTGCTCAAGATTATAGAGCTTTTAAATAATATCTTGATAACTTTCTTGAATGTGAGAACAGCTACTGATGTTTCTTCTCTGGCTTTGCAAAGAATTCTGAAAAATGGCTTTTACAAACTAAAGAGGGTGAATTATACCCCTCAAGGTCACCAAAAGCACACCTTACTTTTGTCTTATTTTAATTTTTCTGCAAACTGATGCTAAAGGTCAGTCTGCAGCGGATCGCCACTGGCATCCAGTTACTTCCAGCTCATTTGCCAGGGTCATGTGGAGAGACCCCTTAACTAATACTTGGTGTGGTCCCAACCATGTTTTAACTTGGGGCCGTGGCTCAGTATATATTTTCTCAGAAAAAGTAAACGGAGCCCAATGGCTCCCTGAAAGATTGGTCCATCAAGTGGACACAGATCTTGAGCCTAATAATTGTGATTCTGATGATGAAGATGACTCAAAATCCTTATCTGCCATCAGATTTAACCTGGCATGTAGTCTCCATCAATACTTAAAGCCACCCACTATACGTGGTGGCCAGACTTTGTGTATAAATCCCTGTCAACCAGCAGTTGGATTAGACACTGGAACATTTCCGCTTCCAACCTTATTTCCTACATTGCTTGGATAAATCATGTTGCTTTTAACCTTTTAAACTTTGTGTCTCAAGCAGATAGGTTGCCTTCACATAGGATCGCTCTCAGCAAGCTCATAAGCCCTTTAAATTAGAAGCTGAACATTAAAGCATTGAGCCTCGACCAGAAACCTTTGTCCTGGCTTCATCTCTTCCTGCCCTCCTCCCATTCCCAGCCTCTCTTTCAGGTCAACCTGGTCGACTGTGGCTGCTGGCCCCCAACATGCTCACACTTGACCAAGTTGGGAAACAGCAACAAGTTTAAGGAAGTACCAAGTTTCTAGCTTTTTAAATATTCATTCCCAGGTTCAACATTACCCTCTTTGGCATCCTCTAAATAAGTTAGAACAGCTCTTGGGTTCAAGGAGACCTCTGTCTTCCATTATCCCATCACTTTGCATTTGGGTCTGTAATGGGTAAGATGACAAGAAATGTTACTGCCTGCACTCAGCCTTTTGCCACATCCAGGTCATTCCCAGATCCTTCTTCCTCATTTAAGATCTAGGATGTCTGGGTGCTAACTATCCTTGGTCTCCTCAAGCTGGAGGGACAATGCTATGTGGGCATACCCTTATTAAATGAGACACTCAAAGTGCAGGTTTTCCTGGAGATCATTTTCTTCTGTTTCTGTCTTAGTTAATTCTCTACAGCTGTGAAGAGACAACATGACCACGGCAGCTCTTATAAAAGAAAACATTTATTTGGGGGCTTGCTTATAGTTTCAGAGGGTTAGTCCATTATCATCATGGTGGGAACCAGACAGGCATGGTGCTGGAGAGGAAGCTGAGAGCTTTGCATGTTGATCTGAAGGCAGCTAGCAGAGAGAGAGACAGACGGGGGTGGGGGGAAGGGGTGGAACTGAGCCTGGTATGAACTTTTGAAACCTTAAAGATCACTCCTAGTAACACACCTCCTCTAACAAGGCCACACCTCCTAATCCTTCCCAAACACTTCCACTAACCAGGGACCAAGCACTCAAACACACGACCCTATGTGAGACAGTCTTATTTAGACCAACTACACTCATTAAATCTTGTAACAAAACCAAGATGTTGAAAAACAGTATTACACATGTATTATGAGAAAAGGTACTGGGACCAGGCTGAACCAATCTTACATTGCAATGCTGTGACCAGCATTCACCAGGCTTGTCTGAGCCTCCAGTTCCCAAACTGAAAGAAGTCTCGTAGAAAGGGACTAGATAACTCATACAAAAATTCGGCACAATGTTCACAGTAGTAACTCCATAACTATAGTTTATAAGGAAAGTCCATGGCTTTTTGTTTTGCACATGTCCTGTGCATGTTTGTTCATCTCCACAGCAACATACCGTGCAGCTCACAATGTCAAAGCACTGCCTTCACTAAGCCAGTGAACAGACTGAACTTTTGAAATCTCACATCCATGGAGCAAGTTTGAACAACCGTGCAGTCATACCAATAAACGTTTCAAAAGGATACAGCATTGGTTCCCTGAACCAATAGCTGCTTCATCTCTAAAGCAAAAGCTGTCTCCACCACAGTGTGGCTTCCTAGGCTCTGTCCACAGACCTAAATTATTTAATGTCCGCTCAGGATAATTGTAAATTAGCTGAGGTTGAAATGCTTTTCAGAAAGTTTTATTCCTTCTCTCCCTTCCCTTCCTTTTGAATATCTCTGAATCAAGCAAAGGAAATTCACAGCCCTGTATATACTTTATATGCCAGGGATTTAAAGCATGATAACTTTATTGCCCTGCATCTGCCTAACAGCTCATTAGATATATATTAGGCATGCAGTTTATAGATAAAGAAACAAGGCTCACAGGGATAACACTTTTCCAGGTCACACAGCTATTAAGCGTAGGTTTGTTTGGGCCAAAGCCAGCCATTTCCATTCTGTATGTTTTCTCAGTCAGTCTAGGACCAAGGTTTACCTGGCAGGAAGATAGCCATTGGCAGTGAGCACAGGGCAGCCTTAGACCTCAGGTAAAGTGTGGTAGAATTGGGAATGGCCAGGATGCAATGCACAACTGGATGTGAACTGCATTCCTTGACATCTTGCTCATCAAAACCTGTTCCAGCCATCCCTGTCTGTTGCCTGGCTTGTCTACCTATGCACAGGTGGCATGTGACTATGAAGGAGGTGAGCTGGTAGTGGAACAAGTGTGATCCTATCACCATGACTGAGTCTAGCAGAAAAGCAACCTGACCCATGCTGGTCCAGATGATCCTCCATTAAAACTGTAGCCTCATGGGAAGTGAGGTCAGAGCCACTAGGCTGGCTGCACAGTGATTTACTGAACCTGGGAGCTATCTGTAAAGCACAGCAGACATAAGCTTTAGAGAGGCAGAAGCAGAGTGGAGAGGGTCGCTGCATCTTTCCCCAGTCATTGATACACGACAGCATCATTATAGTGACTTCCTGATTGCTCAAGTTAGTGTGAATGAGACTTCTGTTACTAACCAAGCAGACTAACTCATCCTTCCAGATATCCAATCACTTATGAGCGGAATTCAGCCAAGGGTGGGGCTTCCCCAGCTCCTTCTCTGCTTTTCTTTGCTCCCAGAAAAATGTCAGCTGACCTGTCACCAGCAGAGACCCAAGGTGTCCCCTGTCTCTTCTAGGGTAGGGAAGAGGCAGGAGCAGACTCAGCCATGTGGCTTGTGATTTATTCCAGCACGAGTGGCATTTGAAGGGTCCTCCCCCCAGCAAGAACAATGGAATACATTCTTTTCTAGGCTTGCATTTTTCACCTTTGATTTATTTTCCACTGCTTTGAAAAGGCAAAAAACAGAAACCTACTAAAAACTTGTTCTGCCAGATTCTCCAGCCACTCCTCTCCAGGCCTGCACTCGCTATGGGATGCAGCCCGCAGGCTCAGAAGGAGCAATTGATACACTGGTTCTGGAAATACCAACACTAACAGTCATTCATTCAGAGCCTTAGCACCAGGCCTTGAGCTGAGCAAGCTCTTCATCTAGGTAAATAAATCTTAGAGCTCTGACTCTTCAAAACCACGCTTCCCTGATTTTCCAGCACTGTAGGCTGCTCCTCTTTTCTAGATGAGAAAGTTTAAAGACTGAGTGACATTGTGACTAGGTCACACATGCAGTTAGCAATGAAGCCAGGAGTTCAAGCAAGTGATTCCATGGTGGACCCAGAGATGAATACTACCTAGATACTGAGGAGCCAGACACCTAAAGCTGATTCTCACATTGACTCACTTTGCCAGCTTAGCCCAGAGACATCACTTCTGTGCTCTACATAAAGATTATCTTTGGGATCATTTCCTGCCCAAACCTAGAGAATAATAAACACCAGGTGAGCGGGGATGGAAGGTAGCCCCTAACCATAGCTGAAGACACCTAAAGATGGGAACAGAAAAGGAGATATGTGATTCCATGGAGACAGAGAGATGGGTTGGGGTGCTGCTCATGGTAGAGTGAGCATGCAGCATGTAGAAAACTCTAGGTTCATTTCTACACACACACACACACACACACACACACACACACACACACACTCACTCCAAACCCTATGAGGCATGACACTA